AGTTTATTTTTTATTTTTTATTTTTTTGTTTGTACCCCCCCCCCTTCCCTGATTTGATTTGTTAGCCACCCTGAGTCCCCTTCGGGGGGGAAAGGGCAGCATATAAATATAATAAATGAAAAAATGAAATGAAATGAAACCCCATAATGAAGTTGAATTTGTCTCTGCCAGGTTCTCTCCTAGGTTTACCTACCAATGGCCAACGAAGAGATCGCAGCCCTTGTGGTGGACAATGCCACCAGAAACTGCAGAGCAGGAGTGGCGGGAGAGGACTTCCCCAGAACGGTACTTCCTCCCATCATTGGGAAGCCCAAGGGGCAGAGTGCAGCGGAAGACACCGCCAGGAAGTCCTACTATGTGGGTAGGGATGCCCAGAGCAGGAGGGACATTTTGACCCTGAGGCACCCCATTGAAAATGGCTTTATTATCAACTGGGATGACATGGAGAAGATCTGGCACCACGTTTTCTACGAGGAGTTGCAGGTGGACCCGGAGGAACACCCCATCTTGCTGTCTGAGCGTCCCGTGAACGGGTGGTACGATCGGGAGAAGATGACCCAGATTATGTTTGAGAGCTTCAACGCCTCCGCCTTCTACTTGGAAATCCAAGCCGTTCTCTCCCTCTACGCTTCCGGACGGGTCAACGGAATAGTTCTGGATATCAAGAACAACCGGACGGATCCTGTCCCCGTTTACGAAGGCCATGCTGTCCGCCCTGCTCTCCTCCGCATGGACCTGGGCGGGGAAGACCTGACCGACTTCCTTCGGCGGATGCTGAGCGAAAGAGGCTACCACATCAACCCAGAAGAGAAGGAGATGGTGGAGGACATCAAGGAGAAGTTTTGCTACGTGGCCCTGGACTTTGAGAAAGAAATGGCGGCCGCTACGCCCTCCTCTTTGGAGAAGCAGTATGAGCTACCCGATGGGCAAACGATCACCCTTGACACCGAGCGCTTCAGGTGTCCCGAAGGCCTCTTCCAAGCCGGATATGTGGGTAAAGAATGTTGTGGCATCCACGAGACTGTTTTCAACGCCGTCATGAAGTGCGATAGGGATCTCCGCAGCACCATGTTTAAAAACGTCGTGCTGGCAGGTGGCACCTCCATGTTCTCCGGCTTGGCTGAAAGGTTACAGCCGGAGGTGGCAGCGCTGGCTCCCCAAAATGCAGAAGTCCGCATCATTGCCCCCCCGAATCGCACGTGCTCAGCCTGGGTTGGGGGCTCCCTCTTAGCGTCTCTTCCTCACTTTCAGCAAATGTGCATCAGCAAACAGGAATATGAGGAGTTTGGCCCGACTATTGTACGCCGGAAGTGCTTTTGAGTGTTTTTTTTGTTTTGCTGCTTCTCCTGCCACACGTCGAAGTAGTATTAGAAGCAGAATAACAGAATAAGCGAGTTGGAAGGGACCTTGGAGGTCTTCTAGTCCAACCCCCCCCTTGCTCAGGCAGGAAACCCTGTACCATTTCAGCCTCTGAAATGAGGTCTACCCTTTGGGCAATTTGGCAGTTTGAATCTCAGCAGGCTCAAGGTCGACTCAACCTTCCCTCCTTCCGAGGTGGGTAAAATGAGGACCCAGATTGTTGGGGGCAAAGAGGCCGACTCTGTAAACCGCTTAGAGAGGGCTGTAAAAACACTGTGAAGTGCTATATAAGTGTAAGCGCTATTGCTATCTTCCTTCCTCCCCCCTCCCTCCTTTCTTTCCTTCTCTCCCTCCCAGTAGTTAGAATACAGCATTACAGGCTAACTCTGCTCACTGCCAGCAGTTCAATTCCCACCAGGCTCAAGGTTGACTCAGCCTTCCCTCCTTCCGAGGTGGGTAAAATGAGGACCCAGATAGTTGGGGGCAAAGAGGCCGACTCAGTAAACCGCTTAGAGAGGGCTGTAAAAGCACTGTGAAGTGGTATATAAGCGCTATTGCTATCTTCCTTCCTTCCTTCCTTCCTTCCTTCCTTCCTTCCTCCCTCCC